TGAAGCGAGTAATCATGTTAACAATGGGTTCATCTTGTTTCATGAAAAAAAAATTAAATTCTTTGACTAAGAGATTAATCTTAGTTTCTTTTACCTTATTTGTGCCAACGTGAGTGACTTCTAATGCATGCCAACTATCGTATGCAGAGTAACATGTACTAATACGGTTAAATTCATTTCTATCTAAGGCACGATAAAATAGGTTTTTGGCTCTAGCATTAAAAGACAATTTTCTTTTATCATCTTCATCATATTCCTCTCTAGGTTTAGAAATAGATTGATCGAGTTTTTCATCAATTTTAATAATCTTGATAGGCACATAATCACCATATTCAATGACTTCCCAAATATTATATATATTGATTGAATGTAGATCATCATTCTAACTTTTCAATAATTATAATAGTACCATCAAATAAGGGAGGTCAATTTATGAAATGCCTCTCGAGATTTTGAAGATTGTTGTGGTTAGCCATTGCTTGAAATTGTAAAATCTTAATTTTAAAATGAGCACCTCGCTCTGATACCAATTGATAGCCCAAGAATAGCTAACCAAGATATGGTGGATTTGTTATTAAAATTTTTTCGAAGAGTTGATCTAAATTCAACCAAGTAAAGTCTAAATAGATTATTTTAAATCGCAAGCACGAATATAAAAGCAATAAGTAAAGAGAGACAGAGAATGTAAACGATATAATTATGGAGGTTCGATCCAACACAATGATCTACGTCCTTCGTTACCAAGCTCTCCAACACGAGTAAGGTCAATTTCACTATGTTGATTGACTTGTTGTACAATCCAACCATTTACAAAACTTTCAATGACTTACAAGCAATGATCACCGATCTTTTTACAACGCTTAGTTTTACGGAACCTCAACATGACCCAGAAGTTTAAGGAAAATTGAATTTACAAATTTGAAAATTTCTCTCTTAATAAATGATATGATCACGATTAAGTGCCAAGAAAGAAATGAGCTAACACTTTAATAGATAGCAATGAATGAAGCTCGAATATTAGGTATGAAAAACTTGGATATGTAGAATGATTTTCAAGAGT